ATAGAACTTTCACTTCCTGAACAGCCAACATCATCAAGCCAGATTTGTCCAGTTCCTTCACCAAAGTGGGCTGACTGAGGGGCACTCAGTGCCGTACCACAGCCCAACTGTCTGCACACCACCTTAGCATCATTTAAGTCCCAGCGGTCATCACAGACTGTTCCCCAGGTGTAGTGGTAATAGATTTCAACTCTTCCAGAGCACTGAGTGGACCCAGACCCAGCCAATCTGATCTGCACACCTGCCAGGCACAAGACATAACAAACAATATTTTAATATTTAGCTTAAACTAAGAAGACTTTATGAATGACACAGGAGAATAGACTGGAGCAGAGCAAACCTTTTATCTTTTAAGAGCTCAATGAGCATGTAGTAGTGAGACAACCACCTGAAGCAACTATCATGGACAGAATTTGGTATCCACCAACAATCAAATAGTCACATGTATCCAACACTCTGTTTAGCGGGATGTATTGAGGGAAAGTCAAACTAATTTTTTCATGATAAAATCATAAAAATGGATGTTCATGACACTACATTTGGGACTTTTAATGTATTCCAGCTTGTAGTAGTCAGTGACAATAAAACGTGTGTAAAAAGCAGCTGCTCACTGATGATAACACTGACTTTAGCTCTGTTAGAGCTGCTGACTTTCCAAGGTAATATGTCAGAGTCACCTTCATAGCCTACAGGGGGAGAGTAATTCATGTATCTGGTGGAGTATTCCTTTAACAATGCTTCTTGTTGGACATGATTATTAAATTGAACCCCCGCGACCCGATCCCGGATAAGCGGATGTGATGTGTGTGATAATGTGATCCTTTTTTAATATTAAAATGAACACACTTCCTTTATTGGTCAAATTCCGGGAACTGCTTGGTTTCCCCAACGTCAGCTAAAAATTGCTTAAAATTGTGCAGACTTCATGAATAGCATGTCAGTGTAACTTTTTTGAGACATTACAGATTATGTAAGGATGAAAACTTTCCTTCGCCCCACAGACAGCTGTTTTTATGATTATAATATTATTAAGTGATTCAAAATGTCTTCTCACCTGAACAGACCACACCAGCGTCCTCACCATGTCCACAGTTGTTTGTCCCAAATCCTCTGTGCTGACACTCAGTTAGAGACCTTTCACTTCCTGAACAGTCCACATCATCAAGCCAGATTTGTCCGGTTCCTTCACCAAAAAGGGCCAACTGAGGGACACTCTGTGCTGTACCACATCCCAACTCTCTGCACACCACCTCAGCATCACTTAACCCCCACTCATCGTCACAGACTGTTCCCCAGGTTCCGTTGTGATAGATTTCAACTCTTCCAGAGCACTGAGTAGACCCTACTAATCTGACACCTATGGCACAGAAAACAGGACGGAAATGGCATGTGTTTTTTTTCATGTTTGTCATTAAATCATGACAGCAACTATATTTTTTAAAGACAAGGAGAAGTTTCATTTATTTACATAAATGCCTATATGCTATTTTATATCTTTTTAGAGATGCATTGATACAGTCTTTTCTTTCCCAATTCTGATAACCCAACTCAAGGTATCAGCAGGTACAGAGTACTGATCTGATACCAGTGTCTACTTTTCCTAAATGTAAGTGCTTATTCACACATGTAGTTTGGTTCATTTGGTCCAGACTAATGGAAACCATTCTACATTGTTGCACATACAGTTATACGGACTGGACTTTTTTGGCGATTGTCATTCTGCATCATCAGGACCAAGTGTGAACCTGTTAGGATGTCACCGATTGGTTTGTGGAGTACCGTTCTGAAGCCTTGAGTTTGGCATTATGGTCGTCGCAAGGTAGACACACCCTAAAGCCCTGTTTTATAGTCTATTTAACTCTAAATGTAACCATCATTTACTAAATGAACATTATGCTGTATGGAAGAAGACTGAAACTAGAGATTGAGACCATAAACTCATTAGTAAAACTGTTTACTGAGCTCATAAATCAAGTCAGAAGTCTGTTCATTTCTCCATAAGACTGCATGGTATTGGTCTTTTATTGCATCCAATAGAGCTGCCCCCTGCTGGTCATTTCATTGAGTTCAGGTTTAAGACACTTCCTTATTGGCATTACTTCACAGACCCAGAAGCTCTCTTCAGTATATATACTGTCAATGGTCAGGACCCAAATGGGGAAATCAAATTCCGGTGACTGACAGAAGTTCATGAGGCACTTTAATAATTGTCATATGCATATAGGAAATAATCGATTAGCCCTGTTAACATTATTAAAATGCAAATTGGCTGCATATCATGAATAATGACTAACAGATAGAGACGAGACAATCAAAGGAGACATCAGCTCCAAATCACTGCATGGAAGGTAACTTGAAGCCAGGAATGGCTGTGGCACTAAAAACATAAGTCATTCGCCGGACTTAACTGAATGAACATCATTCATAGAGGAAACACTGAGCTTTATGACACTGAAATTAATCTGCTTAGTGATATTAATATCAGCACTAATACTGATGAGATGTGTCAGATTGATGTATCGATAGACCTTTTCCCAGTATGCTAAACTACAAAAACATTTTATACATGTTGTAGAGTATGGTTACCATACAAAGGTTTTCTCACCTGAACACACCACACCAGCATGTCCACAGTTGTCTGTGCCAGATCTTTTGTGCAGACACTCACTTAGAGACCTTTCACTTCCTGAACAGCCCACATCATCAAGCCAGATTTGTCCTGTTCCTTGACCAAAGTGGTCTGACTGAGGGGCA